TCCATCCTTTAGCGAGGGTTGGTGGGGAATGGCCACGAGAAAGCATGCGACGAGTGAGTGTTGTCGCTGCAGTTCGGAAGTCCTGCCAATTATTGCAGATGCGTTCAAATCTGGTCAATTGCCCAGTGAACACACCTGCCGGTTGATGGGAAGGGATGTTGGAGGTAGCACTTGGATAGCGAATAACAGGGAAATCCCAAGCAGCCGCTTTATCAAACACGCTCATGCGAAGCGAACCATCAGAACGTACTATATATGTACACAATTTGTGCAGGTGTGCCGCTTCAACTGCAGACGGGTGCGTGCGCACTTGGTGCTTCACCACACAAACGTGGCCCACCACAATTGCCTATCTACATATATTTTGCTTCATGGATGGTTTGTGATGATTTGTGGACGGAATGTGAGAGAGAAATTGGGGTTTTTTTAAACACACACACACACACACACACACACACACACACACACACACACACACACACCGAGTCATTATTTCGAAAACTCTGTGGCGAGGGCCTTCCTGCCGGGGACGTCGGCAGCCTTCCCCGTGCTGAGCCAACGGGCCTAAAACCCTGGACCATGGTGCTCCCCTCTATTACAGTCTCCCATCCTCTTGATCACCTCTTATGGAACCTCGTCCTTTCCTGGAAAATGCACTTCATGATTTTTAGAGATTTCACTTATGATTTTCGAAAATTCCACTAATAATGTCAATAACACAGCGGGAGAATCAGGAACGGGATTCAAACGGGGATATCCGTGCCGGTGGCGAACCACACCTCCTCCTTGCGATCCCCTTTATGGTACCCCCCCTCTCTGCTTCACTAATCACCACTATGGACGACAGACTAATAGAATTGACTGGGTTGCACCTCATGACTGGAACACAAGGCTCTATGATGCAGAACGTTTGTTTAAAAAGCGGCTCCGCTACGTGGCAGCGGCAGCCCGTGCGAAACAATTTGAGCTGCAATTACGAGGCATTGATCAGAGCCCCATTCAACCAGGAATGGATGCACTTTCAGCTCCTGGCGTTATTTATGCTATTATCCACATACCTTCTGGCCGCACATACATTGGGCAAACCACTTACTCTTCTCACTACCGTTTGCAACAGCATTGGCACGCCCGACATTCATCCCAAACGACACACTCACGTCAGCGTCATCTCTATCATTCTATGGTCAGACAACCACCTTTTCATTTTGTTGTCTGGCCTCTAGAGTGCATAGACCCTCATCTCTATCTGAATGCTGATGGCTCCATCAATTTGGATTTGTTCAAACGTGCGGCAACACCTCGTGAAGGGTTTTGGGTCCGTCGCCTGGCCACCTTGCACCCTCGAGGCTTCAACAGTGTCCTTCCACAAGGTCGTTTACCGCCTGTCAGACGACTTCGTCGTCCGAATAGGTGGATTCGTTCGCGAGGCGGTCCAAACCCTCCCTCCTTCAGTCGCCCCTCAACACAAACACACGGTGACAGCACTTCCACTACTGACACTAACCCTGGTCCGTTTCATGTTGTGCGCTCGGCCTTGCATCGCATGCTGGCACAAGCAGCCAATTCAGAATGGCAATCCATATCTCATACCCTTTCCCAAGCCACCCCTGCTTGGCGTGCTCGCCTGTTGCAATGGCTCCAAACAAATGTCTCGAACTCCGATCTCACACCGAACATTCGACAATTGGAATGCATGATCCATGGTTTGCTTCATTCACGCCGACCGTATTCGAGCCCTATGCATGATCAGACTCCGTTCTCAAATTTCATTGAGATTGTGCACATGCATCAAGTTGCTCGAACTACACAACTACGGGGCGTTCTTCGGTTACCAGAAGTCGCAGAATTACATCTGCGGCCTGCTCTGGCCAAAGAAATACGTATCTGCGACAAAATGGTCCCGCCCATTCGTGTCCAATTTTGTAATTTTACAGAAGTGGCACTCAGCATAACACCCAATATGCCACCTCCAAACTCTAGTGATTGTCCTTGTCGATGAGAGTTTCCGTGCTGTATAGACACTGTTGACGGTCATGTAGCCACAGTGGACTACTCTATTATACAAGACACACATCTGAGGGCCCTCTTCATTGAAGGCTCCAAGTATCGCCTCAATGCTGACACCGCAGATGTGATAAAAGCACTGAAACTTGGTCTGGACGAGTATATTGCTAAGTTCATAGCAACCATGAGATCAGCACGTAACAATGACCCAATGATTGCCGATAATCTTGCTCAATTACAAAGATGGCGCACAACAATCATTTCAAGATGCCAACAGAATCTCTCTAGAGCCTCGTACCAGGTACCTGCTCAGGCCGCCTCACGAATCGCCAATACATCTTTGAAGCAGCTACAGCAGCACTTCGCCATTGTACCTGTTGATAAAACATCACACAATATGGCAATTTGTTGCAAACGCTGGTACGCATATAAGTTATCACAGCATCTTGACAGTTCCACCTACGATCAAGCATCGGAGTCTGTGGCCAGCATCCTCGATCGGCACGCGCTTTTCAATGATCACTGCGGCTATCGACATACTGATACCCTACCTTACCTCTATTTTGCACTCAAAGCACATAAATCCCCACCCGCTCTTCGTCCAATTCTTGGAGTCACACAACGAAACAATCTTTCCCAATCTGCCCCCTGTTCAACATCCTGTCGACCCTCCGTCTCAGACCTGCATAACAGGCCCCCTCACAAGCCCTTAGCAAGCACAACAATGGCCTCTCGCTCACTCAGCTATGCCCTTCAAGGTGTGATAAAATCTTTGCGCAACAAGGACAATGAGCTTTACCGAGAAAGTGGTGTGCGACGTTGCTGGATCGTACAAACTGTYGAGGAAGTCATTCTGGATCTCAAGAAGAATGCACAGTCCCTCCGAGGTTCTACGCCACACACAGCGGACTTTACAGCAATGTACACAAACCTACCGCACGACCAGATACTCGATAATGTCCTAAATGTTGTTCGTGAAGCACATGACTATGCTCTGACTCTGATCCCACAGGACAGAAGGCCAAGAGAGATGTACATGACTGTAGGAGGGCCTCGTCGCGGGGAATGGGTTACTTCACATAGCACAGACACTCATTCAGCACAAGAAATTGAACAGCATCTGCGGTTTGTGGTCTCAAATACTTATCTGCATACAGCGGATGGCACTCTCCGCCATCAAGTGGTCGGTATTCCTATGGGCACTGATGCTGGTCCAGAGATTGCCAACCTGACGCTCTATTGAATTGAAGCACAGTTCGTCGATGAACTTCGTCAACAAGACCTGCGAGCGGCGCAAGCATATGCATTCACATATCGGTTCATCGATGACATTCTATCCTGGCAGACATCCCCACCCCCACCTGCTCGGCACGGCCTTGAGACTTGAGTGGAAAGACACTACTGAGCAAGATGGCTCATGTCTTTTCCTTGGGGCAAGAATCCAACAGGGGTCAGATGGCTCGCTTCGCATAGGTGTATTTGACAAGGCCGAGGCCTGGACATTCCCTGTCATACGTTATCCCAGTGCGTCCTCCAATGCCCCAGCTCATCAGCTTGCAGGTGTACTTACAGGACAACTAACGAGGTTCGAACATATTTGTAATAATACTACCGACTTCAAAGCGGCAGTGACTTCCTTGACGCGATGTATGCTTTTAAGGGGCCATCCCCCTAGTGTCCTGGCCAAAGGCTGGACGACGTATGTGCGTGGCCGGCAGCGCCGACTACCCACTCATGTCATACGGCTCTCGAACTGGTTTCGTCGTATGGTGCGCTGGGCCATCGCTCACCCACTGTCGGATGCACACTCGACGTACAGAACCTCTTCTCGACCACATGCAGCAGACCACCACCCACTCCCGAACACCAATTATGACTGCAGGCGACATCAGCCCTCCACACAACACGACACAGTGGGTCTACCCCCTCCTGTTACTCCTGCTGAACTGGCAAACGCCAATGTGGATACGCCAGCCCAGCCAGAGAATGGTCCAACAGCGAAAAGCAAGGTATACGCTGCTGAGGTTGCTCAAGGCGATGAAGGCCAGCATCCTACCAATGCGGCTATTGCTGCCGAAATGGTGCCTCCCTCATCACTGTCGCCATCACCACCACCACCACCACCATCATCACCACCTCAACCTCCTCCCCCGCCACCTCCACCACCACCAGTATCCCCGCCACCATCGCCACCGGCATCCCCACCMCCCTCCCCGCCGACATCTTCTTCTGCATCATCCCCCCCATCATCTAACCCCTCCTCTGCTGCTTTTTCCTCCCCTTCTTTTGCTTCTTCTTCTTCTTCTTCCTCTTCCTTCTCTTCATCCTCTTCTCTACCCTCTTCGTCATCTTCCCCTTCCTCTTCTACCTTGCCTGATTCATCATCTTCGTTATCAACACATTCCTGTCCAGATCAGCCGTCGCGGCGACCCCTTCATCCAAGGCATCTACCGTTGAATCGATCGTTGCAGACACTTCGTCGGCGGAGGCGCTCCCCGTCTCCACCACCGTCTCCAAGACAACGACCTCGTTTATCCATGGATGGTATAATCACTGCGCCCCCTGCAGGGGTTCGAGATCTGCTCTGACGCCATGCCTGCAATCGTACAAAACGACGGTGTCACGCTCAATACACACTAGCCCGGAATAGTGCATGTCGAGTTCGATGCCAACAATGTGGTGACGATTTCTTCAGCATTACAGGCCTACGTGTGCATCAGACAAGGGGTGCAGCTGCCTGTGCAGGTTTGCACGACTGGCAGCCACCTAAACTACAAGTGCGGCTGATCACCCTCCATTACCTGCATCTGACCCACCTATATCTCACCCACCCATTTCTCCCCCGCCTGACCCCGCATGTTCTCTAGCCCCAATAGTCAATGACCAGCCTTCTGATCATTTGATGGAGCCTCTGACTGGAGATGACCTCTCTCTGGAGTGTGTGCTAGAGCCGATGCAGTTTCCACAAACGGAGGAACCTGATAGAAACGATCCATATCACATTGAATCTCTGCCTGCCGTGCAATCCACAAAACTGAATGAACTGCCCCCTGCCGCACAACCAGCAGAATCATATGATCTCATAGTGCTGCAGCGAGGCTATAGTGCGTACTGTGCTATCAATATAAGTCTCCTCGCTTACAATTGTAACCCTTACACAGTTTCTGAATTTGCTGATATTGTCCGTTGGATAGAAGAAGAGCACCGTGCTGTCTGCCCAAAGGATGACAGTACTGGTCCTGGAGTGAACATAGAGGTCTTGTCTATGGCATTTATGGGTAGAAGACTACAACTGTAGCCTGCTCCCCAAAACCACATGCCAGGCATGAACCCAAATATTCGCGCGTACATCCTGCATCGGCCAGGACATTTCAGCGCTGTGACCTATGCAGACAATTCATGGGCCTTATGGGACAATGGAGGTAGGGTGCACACTGTAAGTAGCATTAACTCTTTCCATAACCAAGTAGCAAATACTCACTCAATTTGGATTATCCTTCAGGAACAATACGCTACTTCGCACCCACAAGCGCTTCAGTCTCTGGAGAGCAATCCGGATGTGCAATTACCTCCTTCCCCTGCACATGACCAGGCAGTGTCCCCTCCCTGTGTAGATCGGGCAGATTCTGCTCTAGACAATGAAAGAACCTCCTTAGAAGATGATGGCTATGCCCTTCCATTCTGTAGCCACACAGCCACAGTCCGGTTAGCATGCACAGTGCATCGTCTCTGCTCCGAACACTATGAAGGGATGGTCACTGCCAGCCTCTGTCGCGAAAACTGCGACTCTTCGTCTTGTGTTCATCCCCC